GTAAGTTTGTCACAAAGGATGGTAATATGTCCCATGGTTTGCTTTGGGGATAATCTCTCTGGTAAACAAATGACAGATGCCACACGATAAGGAGCAGGTGAAGAAATTCCTTGTGATAGACTTGCAGATTTGAAACAGTGCCCTCAAGAATTCCACAGGTGGTGCTGCCTTCTTTGAGATTTGACGAACTGTTTTTTCAAGGGTTCCAGTGCAAATGACAGGGATACACTGTTTCAACTTTTGCCAGATTTGGGCCACAGGTCAGTAAAGAAAAAGTTGATGGAACATTCAACCATGACGACCTGGTAGAGTTGACAACACATGCTTAGCACACTGTCCATGATGTTAGCTTCAGGTAGGCATCTCAGTGTGACACACCTGTAGATTTTCATTCCTCAGATAATTCATTGGAACTGTAAGAAAATGGCTTAAGACCTTAGCGTACAGATGCAGTGGAGGTTCTTTGGCCTGACAATCCAGCAAGAAGACACTGCACAAAGTAGGAGCATAGTTGGTACATGAACTACATGTAGCTCTACAGTTGCATCAATGAAGATGAAGAAGAATGGTGGTGTGCTCTCAAGCGTGAAACTACAAATTCCCACATATGTACATACCACACCTGCCGCTAGAAGACTGGTGAGGAGAAAGATGTGATCTAGTGCAGTGTTTCCCCAGCTCATAAAAATGTAAACCATCCGATCTCACTCGTTTTAGTGACCATGCACCAATCATCAATGCTGGCACCTCGCATAAAAAATTAAAAGCAAAAATGTAAAAAGGGAAACGAATATCCCCAGTCTGAGGCATTCCTGGAATGGTTCCTTTTCACACTGTCCTGAGTGGCAAAGAAGGTCACAAAATGCAAGATCTAAGGAAATGAAATTTGAGTGAATGCTCAAAGAGTGATAAAAAGAAATTAATTCCAGTCACTTTGACCATATTAATTTTTTTCTCTTTCACAAGTTGAAACAATATTGGGCCACAAATAAAGGAAAAACAAGCTTTCCTGGGGCTTGACTTAACTGACTTTGGATGGAGCTCCTTGATGTCACAGAGGTTAACATCCTGGTGGTCACAAAAGGGAAGGGTGGTTGTTGGAGAGGTGAATTGGATCAACTCCATCAAGGTAGACCTATGGGACATCTTGTACTCTGTATCGACAAAGCATAGGAAATATGAGGTGAAAGTTATGAGTTCAAAAAAAGCAACTTTGGGACATTCCACATGCTTCCAAGCTCAAAATGAAACTACGAAGCAAGTTCTTTGAACTTTAAAGTCATTTTTACTTGTTTTACATCTGAGAATCAATCATTTCATAAAATACAAGAGTAATAGAGATGAAATTCTAAAAACCTTATCGAACTCTTCTAAAATGAAATTCCAGTGGTTCGGTTCTGTACAAATTTTCTCTCCCATTCCAACCGGAGTTGCAAACCGGACTGGTTATCTTATTTGTTACTATTTTCATTCATAATTATTTCTGGTAATAGACAACTCCAAAGTAGCCAAGGTACCGTCGCTTGCGAGCCTGAAGAAACCTGTAGAGAGGAGACAATGAGAAGCAGTTACAGTTTAAGAGGTGGGAGGAAAACCCCAGAGGAATAGTCCGAGTAAAAGCCAGGAATCAGGTAGGGACTGAAAACCCAATCCACATGTATAGGTAACTTTCCCTCTGGGAAGGCCCCTGCTTGGGATGATATAGTCCCTTTGTCATCAAACAGGCAAGGAATGCATTTGCTAAGCACCTGGTTGATATCTTTAACAAGTGTCTAACAGCTGGCGTGTTTCCTGATCGTTTAAAATAGCCAAAGTAATACCGATTTTCAAAAAAGGTTGTAAGCACAATGTAACCAACTATTAGACCTATTTCTGTCCTATCTACACTTTCAAAATTGTTTTAAAAACTTATTTATCAGAGATTGATATCTTTCATCTGAATCACAATTCGGTTTCAGACAAAAGCGCTCTACTGAATTGGCGATATCGTACGATGTTAGTAAATTATTTAATGCAATTGACAAACAGAATTTCTCCATTGGTGTATTATTAGACTAATCAAAAGCTTTTGACACTGTCAATCATAATATTTTAATAAAAAAATTAGGATATTACGGTATCCGCGGTATAGCTCTAGACTTATTAAAAAGGTATCTGTGTAACAGAAAGCAGTACGTATCATTTCAATCTGTTAATTCCAGCAGTCGAGGAATCACATGTGGGGTACCACAAGCTTCTGTGTTAAGTCCATTGCTATTTCTACTTTACAGCAACGATATATGCAGTACCTCATACAGTACAATATTTTGTTTATTTGCCGATGATACGAGTTTGTTGCATACATACAAGAATGTAAATGAAGCAATCCAAACATTAATTTGGAACTTGCTAAACTTAATGAGTGGCTTTTAGCAAACAAATTGTGTATTAATGTCCTCAAATCACATTACATAATATTTTGTTCAAATCAATTGAAGTATACACAACATGCTCATTTGATCTTAACCCCTTGACGTCGGGACTTTTTTCTGAAAGCCGACTCCGAGAATTCCAGCCTCGCTTGACCACGAAGGCCACCTGCCAAACTGCAAATTTTCGGTTTGTGGCCCTGCTCGCTCTGCATGCTTTGATTTACACAGTGAAAAGGCTCATTGTTCGGTGGCATGCGGCTCTACTCACGCTTCCACATTCCCGTTGCCTCTTTTCGAAGTGGGGACTATTGTGAAGCTGGTGATTATGATGCAAATTTGGTCTTTTCATTTCTTGGCAACACACAAAGGCCAACTACCATATATACAAGAGCCAGGATATGCCTTCTTTCACTGTGTTCAGTTAAGTGTGGGCTGAGAATAATAGCTCAAATGCGGGCTGAGCTCAATTTTTTAAAAGGCTCTTACCGCTTCTCGGTGAGAAGAGGTTAAACAATTCAAGGATGACGCAGGTTAAAAGTACAAAATTTCTGGGTGTAACCCTGAGTGAAAATCTTACTTGGAAATCTAACTGTAGATTCGTAACGATCAATAGCAAACTGTAGATTCGTAAGGATCAAAAGCAAACTGTAGATTCGTAACGATCAACAGCAAACTGTAGATTCGTAACGATCAACAGCGAACTGTAGATTCGTAACGATCAACAGCAAACTTTAGATTCGTAACGATCAAAAGCAAACTGTAGATTCGTAACGATCAACAGCAAATTGTAGATTCGTAACGATCAACAGCAAATTGTAGATTCGTAACGATCAACAGCAAACTGTAGATTCGTAACGATCAACAGCAAACTGTAGATTTGTAACGATCACAGCAAACTGTAGATTCGTAAAGATCAAAAGTAAACTTTAGATTCGTAACGATCAACAGCAAACTGTAGATTCGTGACGATGAAGAAGGTATCCTTACGTCCACCCCTCCACTTGTTTCGATCATACAAAGTGTGACCGGAGGGTTGGGTTGGGTAGGCGTAACATTACACTTGGTTGCTGTGACACTGATTTAACTCCAAATTTGGCATCGTAATTTCAATCCAAAGTTGCTCATTCTCCAAATGAAATAGCAATATGTATTAATCAAGCGGCCATTTTGGAATGATTCACACATAAGAACATGCAAGGATCAGTGATACTCATTTTGAGTGGTTTGTAAAGTGGTTCAAAAAGTGCTAACCATACTTTATGAAGTTGGTATATCATTCCTCAGTTTCATAGACTTCTGTGGTGGTTTTAGTCCAGAAGGTTTCGCTGCACTGGCACACATATAATAATGACTTCAAGGTGCAAAAGGAAGAGAAGTGAGTATGTCTCCTACACTGACGATGTTGACTGCATGAATACTGTCGATGTTTCAAGTAGCCAGAACCTGCGCTCGTTAGTGAATGGAACAAAGGTGTGCACTGAGGGGAGGGGTAACAGCAAGAGCGTCATAGAGTCGGGACTCCATGCTCATGTAACAATGGGAAATAGTTTAAGTCAGAGAACAGACTCGGAATTGTAGATTCATGCAAGAATGTACATTTCCGTGTCCATTCTTCTTGACAGAATGGTGGTTCTGACAAAGAGAAGGTTTCTTGGTACACCATGTGTAGAATCAATCTCTTCTATAAGAACGGTGGTTCTGACAGAGAGGTTTGTGGGTACACCAAGTGTAGAATCTATCTCTTTGATAAAAACAGTGGTTCTGAGAGAGAGAAGGTTTCTTGGTACGCCATGTGTAGAATCAATGTCTTTGAAAAGAATGGTGGTTCTGACAGAGAGAAGGTTTGCGGGTACACCATGTGTAGAATCAATGTCTTTGATAAGAACGGCGGTTCTGACAGAGAGAAGGTTTGTGGGTACACCATGTGTAGAATCAATGTCTTGATAAGAAGTATGGAAGGTTTCTTGGTACGCCATGTGTAGAATCAATGTCTTTGAAAAAAAGGTGGTTCTGGCAGAGAGAAGGTTTGCGGGTACACCATGTGTAGAATCAATGTCTTTGATAAGAACGGTGGTTCTGACAGAGAGAAGGTTTGTGGGTACACCATGTATAGAATCAATGTCTTTGATAAGAATGGCGATTCTGACCGACAGAAGGTTTGTGGGTACACCATGTGTAGAATCAATCTCTTCTATAAGAGCGGTGGTTCTGAAATATTGTGAGTGTGAAGCCAATGTTTCCACCAGGATGCTCTGGTTGTTTCCCTGAGGAGTTCCCACTCACTGGTTCTTGTCAGAACCCCCCACTCCTATAGAAGAGATTGATACCACATGGTGTACCCCAAACCCTCTCTCACCCAAGCCTCTGTCATGCAAGTTTCAAATCTTACTGTCAGAACTGCTCTCTGAGTGTCTCCACAGCCTCCATACTGATGTTCATGAGGAACAGAAAGTTGAGTATTCAAGGCATGGCAACAATGCAAAACCACCAAGGAATCACTGCAAACATGACAGTAACTTGCTAGCCCCTTAATGACTATATTCATCTCTCCCGCATCATGTTTAAACAGCTGAAAAGACAAATTGCATTCAATCCTGAGGGCGGAATTGACAGTATCAACGTCATCCTCAATGCTTGAGAAAACAACTTACAGTCACTGCAAAAGGTAGACTTCTCCTTGACAGACAGCACATATTCCTTCCACTCTCATTGCCACCTCTGCTTCTATCCACTTGCCAACAAGTGCCTTCATAATGAAAAAAGGAAAATTGGGCTGGAGAAATAGAAAGACCCATGTCTGTCAACATGAATGATCCAAAGCAATTGTTACATAATTAAAACAAGCACAATATTGTTTAGCTAAAAACCCCGCCAGACACATTAAACTGCCATGATTTGTCAAAGTGGCTTGCCTGCCAAGTGTTACAAGATCAAACATGTCAACTCTCCCCAAGGCCAAACAGCCTGGTAGTCTGTGGTTGCCAACCACCACAAGATCAAACAATGGCATTGTTCAATGGCACTAGCTCCCATTGTCTTTATATGGCCAGTGCATATGGCAGGGTTAGGGTTAAACTGGATAAAAATGGCACAAAAGAACCAGTACATGGTGGTCGCTATGCAAAAGTTTGCACTGAATCATGAAGTATAGCAACAGTGTCTTTAGTCTGCGGAATTCAAATTATGTTTATGTACAATCAGATAATACAGTGTACCAGATTTTACTCAAATTTAACTCACAAATGGCCTGCTAACACAGAAACATACAGTTTTGACTGGCTGCACAAAGTGGCAACTTCAACTTTAGTTGAAAAGGTATTCAATTTATACCTGATCTTCCTGACCACAGGGAAAGGGAAAGGTTATTTCCCCCCACACACTGACAAGATTCCCGCTTGCTACCCCATGCAGCCCCCCTCCCCTTATGCCTGATCTTCCTGACCCAAGAGGAGAGGAAAGGTTATTTTTCCCTCCCCCCACACATACATGTATTGACAAAATTCCCGCTTGCAACCCCATGCAGGCCCCCTTCAAAGAAGTTCTTCCCCTCTTTCTTTCCCTTTCATGGGTGGAGCGGGACGCCACCATAGCTGTCTAATTGCGATTAACTCAGAAGAGTTAGCAGGTGTCAAGTATGTACGCATGAGCATTATGTCATGTCTCGACTCACGTACCTCAATCATCCAGTCATCTCTTACCTGAACGAGATGTATGTTCATTACACGGCTGCATTTTATGTGCACAGGTGGAATCCAGCATCAATGTGTACCTGTGTGCAGAAAAAGTATAGGATGTGTTCAATTAGCAAATGTAACCTGCAAAAATGGCGACTGACGAGGGATGAGAAACTCAAGCTAAATGAAGAATCTTCGATGGAAAAGTTGCTGGGAACTAAATTAGTAAGTACTCAGACACCATTTCTAGATATCAAAACCAAAACTATGATCAATAACCCCCCCTCAAAAAAAAAACATGATGTTAACCAAAAAATTAAAACAGGCTAGAAAACCAAGCACTACAAACTAACTATAACTACAAGTTAAACCCTAAAAAGAGCCGGGGGGGGCCTGTGGAATCCCCCCTGCAATATATTTTCCGTTATCTCTGCAGTGGTTATTTCATGAGCTTAACCTTTAGGCATTTTCCAGTAACTCTTTGTGGTTATTTTAACATCAATATTGTGAATTCATATCAAACATTCTTGGGCAATGCCCATTTTTCCAAGACAGCTAGATCAACCCCAAATTTAAACTTCTCCACTACCATGCTCAATGCAAGAGGCCAGCACATACATGTACATGTATGGGGTCTTGAACTTCAAATGACCATAACAACAAAACCATAACTGTACGTTGAATTGAGTGCACATAGTTTTAAAAAAAATGTGGTGTGCATTAACATTCTCTCAGATCACCACAACTGCTGGTGCCTGGAGTTGTAACGTGTTCATCACCAGTAAAGAGCTTGAGCAAATCACTGTAGAACAGTGTAGAGAAGACAAAATTATAAATAATTCACCAACAGGCATGATGGTCCGACAATGGTCCGAAAGATACATGTATGTGCAATTTTCACAGAATTGGTGTCAAAGAGACCACACTAGAGTTACTGAAAAACTCCTGAAGGTTCGACTACTGTACTCTGGCGATATCAGAAAAACTCTTGAGGGGGCAGATTCTTTCTACTCCCTTGTTCTTTTAGGGTCAAATGAACACACACAATTAACTGCACAATGGTGATTGTCAAATTGTCAAACCTGAAAGTGATTTGGTTCAGGTATTATCTTATCACCCCTATTGGCTTGAGTGTCTATATTTGAAATCTTCAATACTGCCTTGACGCTACTTTGTGCATGTCTCTGTGACATGGGCTCAATATCATCTCAATATCCTCAATATCATCTTCAATACTTGAAAAGACAACTTACAGTCACTGCAGAAGACAGACTTCTCATGTTTCTTCCACTATTGCTATCATCTCTGCTTCTATCCACTTTCCAAAAAAAGCCCTAACAATAAAGAAAAAGTTAACTGGACTGGAGAAATGGAAAGGCCTCTTTCTGTCAATTAATATGAATGAATCTAAAGCCATTTTCATAAATAAAACAAGCACAACATATAACCCTCACTGTTTAGACACATCAGTCTGCATCATTTGTCAAAGTAATTTGCTTGCCTACAGGTCAGCTCTCCCCAGGGCCAAACAGCCTTGGAGTCTGTGGTTGCCAGCCACCACAAGATCCAACAGTGGCATTGTTCAATGAGACCATGCACTGTCTCAACATGACCAGTTTGTTAGGCTGCTGTTGATTGACCAGTGCATCAAAAGGCGTGTTCCCATTGAACTTTTTTGGCTGGGCTAACTTAAACTGTGGCAGATTCCTGCACAGCCTGGGTAAGTCAGCAGGGGCGCAAAAAGTCCAATGGGAACAGTTTCCATACAATGTACATCGACTGCGACCGCGCTAAACATACGAACCAGACTACTGCCCACACAGAGAAAATGGTTGTATAGTTCTCAGCCTCCAACTCCAAGCGTGCATGTACAGTACAGGAGCATGCCACGCACACGCAGTGAGGCGTGCCTGGATAAACCTATACACACATTGTGTACAGGGCTTTTACTCATCGTCTTTGAGGCAGATTTGGCCGGATTCGTCTGATTTTATCTTTGTTTTTGTCAGATTTTATCGATATCATCATGATTAGTGTACAGCGCAGCCAATGTAATCAGCTGGTCTTATTAGGCCTAACACAGTGAATAAACATTCCGTTACAGTTAAAAAAAAGTCCATGTGGGAATGCACGGTAGATTGACATGAAGGAATGTTGCGGTAAGTTTCTGCATGCCCACGGAAGAAAGGTCCAATAGGAACACGGCTATAGTGCATCAGACTTTCACATCTGCTGCAGTATGTTGCATCTGGCGGGGTTAGGGTCAAGGTCAGTATTTGCAAAGTGATACATGCAGTTTTCACCTTTTTTTAAAACTCCTCTTCTAAAGGTTGTAGACTGCTGGCCCTCTTTGATTCCACAATCTGACCGTCTTTCTTGGACCTTCATCAATGTTCAAAGAGCAGATATTATGACAATAAGGGGCTTGATCTGTGAAATCAAATAATCATAAAATGATTTAACTAATTCACCCATTTATAATAAAACATTTTCTTTTCACAAGACTACTTTTCATTTTCATGTCATATTTTCCGGAGTTGCCAAAAAACTTTTCAAAGATTCAAAATAGTGGCTTTCATCAGTAAACTTTGGGGGAAATTATACCCCAAGGCGGGTTTACCGTCGGTTATGTTCTCAGCCAGAAAGTATTTGTCATCATGTCTAGAAACCGAACAAAAGGTAACGGAAGAATTTTCAGCGGCAAAATTGCAGGGAACTGAATCGGTAAAGACTCACACACTATGTAAGTATCAAAACCCAAAATACCGATCAACCCTTAAAAAATGACCAAACTGAAAAATGTAATAAGAATTGAAAATCATGAACTAAAGTTTAACCAAAAAAAGAACTGTGGGGGAGGGGGACTGTGGAATCACAGATCAGCCAAAACTTTATTTTTATACTTCTCCACTGCCATGCTCAAGGGACATGTAGGCGGGCTGCCACATACAGTGTCTTGAACTTCAAATGACTATAACAAAACAATACCGTATGTTGGATTGAGCGCACCAACTTTTACAAAATGAAGCATGGGATACCCACAAGTCACATGGTCCAAAATAACCCGGTTTTTTTTTAGCATCCACCTGCACAATGTGTCAAACAGAACTTCTAAGAATACATGTACATGTACACTAAGACTTCAATCACTGACTATAGCAGACAGGACTCAAGTAGAAAACCACACTCCAGTTATGTGGAACAAAACATGACATGTAATTAAGTTGACTTGTCTCTAATGGCTGATCTGCTTCACTGAGTATCATGGCCACACTACATGTACACGTGCACATGTGCCTGTATGTGGCCAAATTAAATGGAAGGAAGGGGAACTCTAAACTACAGTCATTTGCAAAAGTTTAAGACCACCTGGATTTTATTGGTATTTCTGTCACTGGGCCTGCATTACATTGTCTAACTGAATAGTGCATAACATCACTGTAGAAGTGCTGTCTGAAATATTTTGCAAAGGCAAGTCTTGTAAGATATTTTGTCTGTAAGGCAGCATGGGCAAAAAAAAAGTAATCAGAAAAAGTCTAAGGGAAGAAAAAAGGAGGGCACACTTAACATTAGACTGTTAACATTTCAAATAATGGAAATGTTGTCAAATACATGTAGCTGTTTAACCAAGATTCTGAGGTTACACACTGAAAATAAACATAAGTTGCCATGATTGATTGGTTAAAGTTTGGTTTTTCTTCAGGTTGATGCATTTTGTATGAATGGTTCTAAACTTTTGCAATAACTGTACTGGTATAGTACATGTACATACATGTACATTTACAAGCACAAAAGCCTCAGGGGAGCTACTCAAATACATAACCACAACTGCTGGTGTCTGGAGTTGTACATGTTCACTGCCAGTGAAGATCTTGAGCAAATCACAGTTGTAACAATAATATTATGGTATCGAGATGAGAAGTAATTCACCAACAGGCATGATCGATGGTCAGGAATTTGTCATTTGGGCAAATTGAACATGTACTGCTGGGTGAATTAATCAAAAAGGCGATTGAGAAATACCTGTACATGGGTGATACCGTTCACGGCCAGAGGGCTTTATTTATCCAATGTTTAAGCCTTCCTCCACTTGTTTCTAGTTAAGGAGTAGGGCTACGTATACTCAGTGAGGCATAGTCCACTAGCCTAGCCCTAATGAAGTTGAGTCTCTCTTCAATATTTCCTTGACTTTCCTCATGCATCACTGCGAAACCTCTTTGCTGAAAAACTTTGAATTCATTCAGTTACAGTAAATAATGATATTATAACCTTTAAAATACATGTACGCTACTGATCACCTCTGTGAACGATTTTGATTTCATGAAATTTAAAAATCTGAAATTAAAAAAAAATATGAAAATGGTAATCAGGTCACCTATATACATAGACCTACATACAGTATGTGATTAATGTACATGTAATTGTAAAGGCTTTGGAACTCAGTACAGTACACAGTCACAGTAGCAAGGGTATGAACTCAACCTTTTTGCCATGTATGATGCAGGCCTACATAGGCCTACGTAATCAAGGATGTAGGCCTATTGAAACTTTCAGCCCCAGTAACAGGGCCCGGCGTATACTCCTCCGTCATATACATGTACTGGGCCCTGTCCCGATTCACAGGGATTTCTTTCAACAAACTTTATCCGGGATATCCTAGGGCATTACTAAACATCCGCTTGATTTTATGAGCTGAAATTGCACCGGTATGTTCACTACTTACAGTGTCAACTATCCTTGTTTGGAGGAAGTTGCCTTTTTGTTGCCGTTTTCCCACTCCGGACGAATTTTGCCCCACTTGCAGAAACTGACAGCTGTTTCGTCACTTTCGTGTCACGTCACAGAGTGAGAGCCAAGCTACCAATGATTTGCCACAAGCAGTGTGACTGGACTGGGAACCAGCCAAGGATTGCGTATTAGCTGCACATCAAAATAGGTCTATATATGTGTATGCAATGTTAGAATTCTGGAAATACTTATATGCCAAAGTTTGTCAGTCTGGCAAGAAAAATGGGATTTTGCCTTCTCATCTGTGGTAATTAACGATGCATCCAAGTGCCTGGTCTTCCCAAATTACAAGGCCAGGCATCTCATGCACATGTCAGTAAATTTACATGAACAATACATGCAATTTTAGAATTCTGGATATAGGTGTACTTTCAATAATACAGCCTCACAGGTATGCTGAAGTGTGTCGAGACTAGCTTGGAAGATTTTTATTCATGCTGCAGCCATGTGCCTGCCTTCCAGAGTTGACGAGACCGATTTGACTTGGGACCAAGTTGACCTGAGATGGAGTTGACTCGAAGCAAGTTGGTTCCAGACAAAGTTGGCAACTTCACATTGATGAGTATACAGTGTGTTTACATTGCCATGATTTGCCGGATCATATCCGAATCTTTAAAAAGGCAATTTGTAGGGTCTAAGTTGCTCAGACTATTATTAAGTGATCTACATCATCCTGATGCAGTCGCGTCAAGTATCATTTCAAAAATTCAAATATGCACAGCATGCTAAAGTGAAGTTGGGCTAGCACTCAGAAAAAATTATCGTTGACTTTGTTGGGCTTATCATATGGGATAACCTAGTATTACAGCTGCACGTAAGCACATACACACCCAACGACTTGCCTTGAGGGATATACAATTTGCAAGATGTGTGCAAAATCTAAGTGGACATTACTACTAGACCTACATGTACTAAAGTTACTCATGTCATTTTCACAGAAATGGGCCATGTACATGTACATCATACTCCATGTACTGTAGACATTAATCCCTTGTCCAACTCCTAGGAACAGTCTCAACATGGTCATGGTCTTTTCCTTGGCTCCACCAAGGACTAGGCCTATGAATTTTATTCCTGTAAAGTATATTAAAGTGTGGAATAATAACAGCAAAATACATTGTACTTACTCCATATCACGTAGGTGTGCCAGCGATTCCCCAGAGACTGATTTCTTTCGCGTTGGCTTGATGATACACAAAGTGGCGCTTGCACGCTTGTCACCACACCCACGTGTTGTTTGCAGCGTGCCTGCGCGTAGTGACGTCATGCACAGATCTAGTGCCTGGTTTCGAGGCCCTTTTCCAGTACTCGACTTGGGCTCCGTCAACAGGCTTCGTTCCCAAAACCAATTCCCGATTGTGGGCCTGAAGCGTTTAGATCAAATTGGATTACTGTAATTTCTGGCTCTCTTGCATCTTATTTGATGTTTTGTGGCACTATTAAACTAATTAGTGCGCTTACAGCTTCAAAGTCAGCTAGTTGAAAAAAACAGTTGAAGCCTGAGACGGCGCCGAAGTTGAGTATTGGAAAACGGCCATAGCCTCACCCGAACTCGTGCTATAGGGTTACCGGGTCGTCAGTACTCCAAAGGATCGTATTGAAAAGTTTACATAACATATGTTCATCTTTAATCTTATCTTAACTTAGATTTAGGAGGTTCAGGGGCAGATTTAACTTTTAGAACGAGGGGGGGGGAGTAGTGTATTGCATGGGTCTTGATAAAACAATGGTTGCATTCATACTGCACAAAAACAAAAGGCCTTGAACAATGCACCGGCTAAAAGCTTGATCGAACAAAGTGTGCGCGCCAGCCGCAAAGAAAGAAACGACTGTAAAGGGTTGCTATCGCCAAAACCAGTTTACGTAAAAGTCACAAGTCTTTTCATGTGCCACTGACCTAAAGACTCGATGGAAAATTTTCACAAGTCCGATAACAAGGATGAGTCGCGTTCGCGGTTGGATCATCTTTCTAAAATACCGACCGGGCCTGCAAATGAATCAACTCGCCCACAATCATTTAATTTAATGCTGCGATCAATCGGCTCATGTAGTACCCAAAGTGTATAATGTTACTCACATAGCCTACGAATGTTTGTATCGGTCTATATATCTGTATGATATTGTTGGCAAAGCATCCAGAGGACACATCACACTAAATGTATTAGGTTTGCACCTCGCATGGGGAGACTGACACAAATTTAAACCAACCCATCAATGAAAATTGCCCGACTGCCTCCTTGTTAGCTGACACAGATGAGATTGTGGCATATTGTTCCAATCCCTGACTGTTCTGGGGAAGAAGATATTGTCAAAAACCAAGGTGCGAGTACGGATTTTGCAAATTTTTTGTATGACCCCTGGAGATTCTACATTTGGAGTGAGGATACCATCAGACTGAACATCGACCAACTTATTTGTTGATTATGTTGAACACCATGGATAACCTGTTGGTTTCACGCCGTGTCTCAAGGGATGACCGATTAAGTTCCTTGAGTACATGTATGTTTGTCACGTCGCCAGGTGCTCTTCTATAATCGTTGCCAATAAATCGGGCAGCTTGTCTTTGAATCTGTTCGAGACACTGGATGTCAGACACCAAGTGGGGATCCCAGATGATGAATATTCCAGCAATGGTCGAACCAGTTTGAAGTACGCTGTTTCTTTCACCTTTGGAGTGCAGCTCCACAGACTCCTCCTCAGAATATTTAATACCCTCTGAGCTTTCTTACAGGTTTCAGATATGTGTTCAATTCCTCCATGACAAATTATGTAAATCCCAAGATATTTTAGGCTGGTTAGACTATACTTAAGTTTTCACCGCAAAATAACAGATGGTTTTGATTGGTGCCCCGGTGCCTATATGGAGATTGTGTGACATTTGCTTGGATTAAATTTCATTCCCCATCTAGATTGCCACTTTTCCGTGCAATACAAAAGACAGTCGTGAGCAAAAAGACGAATGCCCGAAGCACGGTTACCTGGCAGATGTATATATAGCAAGAATAACACCAGGCCTATCACTGACCCTTGGGGGACTCCAGATGGTACTGGTACAAGATCTAAAGCCTGACCATCTAAAACTACCCTCTGTGTTCTTCTGGACAGGAAACTTTTAATCCACTGATGCAGTGGTCCTACAGTGCCGTAAGATCTTAATTTATGTAGCAGAATTATGTGGAACTTCAATCGAAAGTCTTCGTAAAGTCAAGTATAGCTACATCTACTATTTTGCTTGTTGTCGATTAATCTGCCTATGTAATGCAAGGTAGTAATAAGTTGAGTTCTGTCGATCTTCTGGACCCAAAACCATGTTGGCAATCTGTAAGAATGTTATCTCCAACGGAGAGATTCCAGGACATACCTCTCTATGAACCATGACATCTGTTGTGGTTTGGATTTCATCTGTGAAGACACTCTGAAACTGCTGATTTGATATGTCAGTTTTTAGCTTTACTGTCACTTATGATGTTCTCACCACCTTTCAAAATCAGATACTTCAAAATTCTCCCTCTGAAACTTTTTTTTATGAATAACCAGAAGGTTTGGGGATTTGCCTTAAAATTCTCTCGGAGGTGTGAATTTATATACTGGGTTCTTGCCTTGCGGAATTGATTTTCATAGCCTTGCTAGGTTGTTTGAAGGCTTGCCATCTTCTTCCTTATTTCACTTTTGTGCTTTCTTGTAGAGACGTCTTTTTCTTCTGTATTCTCTTTTAAGAGCATTACTGAACCACGGTAGATTATATCTACTTGATGTGAACTTGTGGGGTACATGCTTTCCAAAAGATCAAGCAATATCTGTTGAATGTGCTTCCCCTATTTGAAATCTGGTAATTGTCCTGTTGATGCGTTGTTACCGTAAGCAGGTTTTTTAACGGATGGCACACGTGAACCCTATCAATGATTTGAAAGAAAACGCATTTACATAAATGGACATCAAATAAACCCTCTCTCTCCAAGACGATAATTAAACATTTAGACAGACAGGGCAATCTTCTCTGTTGTGAAGATGTGTGGCTCTGGGTAGAGCCGTAATATGAAAATAATATATAAAAATAAAGATATAGGCCTTCAACTCTCGCTGAAGCGGCAGACATTCCGCGTCCACTTCTTGTGGCCAAAACCTGTGTTTTTGCACTTGGCTACCTCCAAAGACCTCTGCACTGTGTCACAAGCAAGATCTTTGAGGCTGAGGATGTGGTCGTGATATTCGCTGTTGACGCTCTGCTTCCCCATCCGAGCGTCTACCGTGGCCTTCCATCTTGTATGGATGCGAGGAGAGCAAATGACCTCCTCTCGCATTCACTTGAATGCCAAAAAATTGTATTCCTGGCGGTTACCTTCGATTTCCTCAGGGGAGCACAAGGATGTTCCCCGGCGAACAGAAGCCTATCGCCAAGGTTTGCTTCGCTTTGTGAAAGACTGGTCACACCGCTAGCCTGCATGGTTTCCAGATGACGTATTCGTCTATTAATTACAGTTTGCTCACTCTTAGAAAGAGCGACAAAATGGAGTATGCACTTGCAGTCATCCATTGACAGAGAATTCACTTCTTTGTCGCCAAAAAGCACGGTGAAGGTGGAGGTATCATTTCCCAACTAGGCCTGCAGATTGACAGCAGAACGAGAAATGATGGCTACACTGTACTTAGGTCACTCGTACTCACTTAACATTCCTCCAACACACCACAAAACTCCAAGATCAATTTGCAGCGAAGCACGACGTTTGAAAGCTGCTGATGACTTCCTGATCCCTTCTCTAAAAACGCTGTGTGCGCTGCTCGGTCTCTTGGCATGTTTCCAGTTATCTGTGAATGACTTTCACCCAAGACTTTCTTAATCCCTTCTCAAAGCGTATATTGTACATGTATGATCGTGCGATCCCGTTTGATGTCCAATGAGTGCAGAATAGTTTCTTCTTCAAAACACCCATCCAAACTACAGGCAGGAGGGAATCGTTCACTCTCCCTGCATTTACACAACATGGGAGGCCATGCTGGACGCCCGGACGGGGAGGCAGGGTGTCAACAGCGACATCACACGGTACGGCCACCTCCTTAACTATAAAGACCATGACGTAGTGCAGAGGTATATTTGGAGGCAGCCAGGCAAGGGAAAAAACGGGGCACTTCGCGTTCTGGCAGAAAGATTCGCTTTTGGCATTTTTACCGATTCAATCATTCAATTTCGCCGTTGTTAAGATGGTTTGAATTAGTAGCTACATGTATTTAGACGTCATTTTTCTTGTACTTAAAAGTTAACTAAAAAGCATGGCCGAAAAAATCAGGCCTAAACATTTCATAATAATGAATGCTGTTTGAATTTCTCTTGTTAATTTGATTCAGGGCCAGCGCTTTGTATGCAAATTTACATCAGTTCGTAAACGAAAAATGGCATAGAATTCAAAACATCAATCGTGTTGTACGACTTTCAGGATCAGTTAACATTTATAAAGAAAAATAATGTCATGCACTTAAAAAAAGACGAAAGTTAATGATTAAATTTGTAAAATGAATGCCAAAAAACGAATTAGCTTGTCCAATTCAACGCCATTCCCGGAGTTAGACGAAAATGTCGATGAATAGGACGAATGAGAATGATTTTTTTCTTGAAGTACAATGCTGAGAAAGTGAACTTATGTGGTATTGTTTCCAAATTGGAGTCCACATTTGGGTCAAATGAACCCTCTTTGACGAAATTAAATTTCCTTTTTGAAATGAAGGAAGCGGTAAAGTAACGTACATTAAAATCCTCGACCCTAACACTCAATGTGTACGTAAAATCACATCGAAATCGAAGAATTGAGGACTGCTGGGGTAATGCATTCTGTATCCTAAAATTCAAGAATAAAGGCAGAATCTTTATTGTTCCTTTTATGTTTTGTCTTTTGATTTTCTGTTTTTGTATTATTTTGTAAAGAATGACATGGGCGTTACATCCCCACCGCATACCACCACATCTCTCCCCACCCCACTCACCGGACTATTTTGGCTCGTTTTCTTTTAATTTTCTTTTCACAATAGCCTACTTGTCCAAACCGTTTGCTGAGATTTTGTTGATTGTTACTTGCCATGTTTTGTTCGGTCGCGAGGTGGCAAATATTTGGCCTGTTAATAGAGCAAGTAACAGATGGCCTGCTCACAGCACAGCGATTAGTAAGATACAAATATGACAGCAAGATGTCACTTGCATTGTCAACTGCATTTTATAATGATTAAAGAGGCCTTGTACTAATAGCCGTCAGGAGTTGTAGCCGTTTGTACAATGACTGCGCCTTCGAATTCCAGGATAGGAGAAGTTTTATTGCCTAGTTTGCCAAATTTGATAGCTTTGTTTTGAGTCAGGAGCAATGTGCGTAAGCCGACAGATTTAACAAGATTCACTCCAAAAATAACGTACGATTCATTTGGAAAGAGGAAGAGCTACTCTCTTACCCAAAAGAATAATAACAACCGGAAGGTAACAAAGGGCAATGCATAGTTAATCTGGGCCTAGTAATGCTGAAAGTGATGTGTAATTTTCCTGTAACCGAATCCTTCCTTGCAACACTTTAACTGTAGCTCCATGCTGTACCAGCTTGGTCTGTGTGTAATTTGCCAATGATTACAAGTCGTGGATCTGACAAGTTGAAAATGTTTGGCCCTGCGAAACTCCAAAGGTACACTTTCACCATTGTCACCACAATCCTCGTTTCTCTCTGCCTGTTCTCGACGGCGTCTTCGCAGTCCCCGGAATGCAGGTTTGAGCCCTTACCGGGCAGTGACGGCAACTTTGCCGTCGGGGATTCGGTGAACCTGTGCTGCGGAATCCCGGGCACTATAAATGTCACGTGTTTCAATGGAGAAAAGAAGCTGGCTTGCCCAGAACCGAATGTGACTTGCTGCCCACTGGAGCTCGCACCGGAGGACAATGGTGTTGATTTCACTTGTACCGTACTTACATCTTCCTCGGATGAGCCACGTAACTATTCCTTCATGCCGTTGAGAATCTTACCGAATGTCACCATCCGACAAGCAGGACCCGGGGTTAATGATGAGGTGGGGTCCTACGCAGTTGTCGAATGTTATGGTGTGGGCGTGCCCGGTATTGCCAACTACAGCTGGACGGCGACACACAGTGAAAGTGGAGAGATAATACCTCCTGAAAACTACACCCTTCTGGCAGATGGCCGGGTGATGGTGATGACAGTGCAGGCTAGTTTTGTAGTGTCCTGTACAGTGAAAGTACCTTCTGGACTGTCCAACAATTCTAGCTTGACCGTTGAGGCTATAGAGCCAGCAGTGTCGCCAGTGGAATCCTGCCAGTGGATATTCCTGTTTGCCGCCGTGCTGGCAGTCCAAGTCGCACTGATGGGAGTCGTTCTAGCCCATCTTCTGTACCTGCGGAAAAGGATGCGCAAGAGAAAGTCTATGACTCCTCGTCGTGACAAACCCAATGCCGAGCAAGCTGCAGACACTGAGTGTGTATACGCCAATGGTAATCAAGACAATGGCTATGCAATGGTGGACGAGGATGGTGACTCCAGAGCGGGCGAGTACGAGGACGTTTCAGTTGAAGAGGGCATGATGATTGACCATTCCCGCAACACTTCCATCGTCTCAGAGTACTTAGATTTGCATGACCCGCCGGCAAACAATTCAGGCCAAGAATATGCTTACGCCGAATTTGCCAACACAACAGGTGGTGGGCGTGAGACAAGCCGCGACACCACCATCATCTCAGAGTACCTGGAGTTACAGGACACACCTGGGGGTAGGGAAAAGGAAAACGGGCACCAAGTAGTTGAATGTCCCAGCAAGAGAAAAATCACCGCCGAGAGTGAGTACGAGAAGGTATCAATCGGTGAGTGCGCCGACTAGAAAACAGGAATAGATTTGACAACCACTGGTGGAGAGTTCTCTGACTTTTGGCATACCCAACCTGAGTTTAAACTTGGGGATCTCTTCTTGCGTCATTGCATGTCTAAAACAAAAACCTGTATATGTTCCTTTTGTACTATTTATAACCTGGCATATCGACAATTTTTTTTTAATATGCTGCAAAAGTTTCACAAGTTTTCGCTGCATCTTTAGCAGTTTTTGTGAATACTACATTTGTAACATTTGACATAATTATGAAATATATAACCTGTACGTGTAAACTTTGCAAAGATCATGTTGAAAGGTAACTTTTATAAAATAAAGTTTAGTTTCCAAAACTGTCCTTTTATCATGCACTGTGAGGCTAGTCAAACTGCTATCATGAGGATTTTAGGTTTTTGCAACGGCAGGCCCAGTGGTACATGTAGTGTCACCGTGATTTAGGTTGTTGAAAGTCTGTCAAGTATGACATATCTTTACTTGTTACCATGAAAAAGACAACCTCTCTCCGCGTCGGTGCTCTGCCCCAGCATGAACAATATGAGATCTTGAGCACTTTTTAAGCATGTAAAAGTGAGACTAGTGTCTTGGTTCCATGCACATGCATCGTTCATACAAAATTAGGTGAAAACACCTTGGTGTGGCCTTGGGGTTTTTTTTTGGGGGGGGGATATTTGGTCTTTTTTGAAATTGCCATCTTCTTAAGTTAGTATTAAGGTGTAATTGTTTAGCATTTGTGGCGCCATTATAGATTGGCAAAAATCGGCCCAAGAACCAACGTGTTAACCTTAACGAAGGAATACAGCACGTTTACAGGTAAGATTCGTTCGCAGTATAAGCACAATAAAAAGTAGTGGTAAATGTTGTTACTGTTTTGAGATCTCAAGAAAAGGTACATGAAATTCAAGAAAGATTTTTTTTAATTACCACAACGATTTTTTTTAAACTGACACTTAATATTGAGGTATGATTTTCATACAGAAGTTGGATGGAACCGTTCGTTATGCGCTCGTCAAAATGGCGAATTTCAGCAAATCTTAAATTTAAAAAATCCCAGTTATCGAAACGAGTTCAGGAAGAATTTTGTTCTCGAACATTTGTATTATATTGGTCAGAGTTGAAGTTGCGCCATTTATCAAGATGTATTTTTTTTGCGTTGGGGAGATGTTAATTACATATAACGGGTTTTGCCCTTAATATACGTTGGTTAAGGGCAAAACCCGTTATATATAATTGCGCCATTTAGTTTGCAGATCTTTTTATCTTTATGTCATATATATAAATACGTTAAAGCAATTATACTTCTCGAAGAATCACCATCTACATTTTATAGAGCGTGGATCAACGTAGAACATAATGTTCACATTATCTCTTCTGATAGCAAAAGCGGATGCCCACTTTCCGTCCTCAATAGTCCTCAAGTAATATTTTGGAAAAGTTAACCTTGAGATGGGTAGAAAAGGAATTTTATCAACGACCTTTAACCTCCGGCAATATCGTTCCTAGGTCTCGTTGTTCCTGCGCATTTTTTTGTTTTCATTCCCTGTGCTTACGTGAAAACGAGACTGTACAACGTTGCAAAGATTAAGCTACCCGCACTCAATGGGTTGCGGTCGAGTTGACCTGACGCATTTCTTGTCAGCAAAGGTCAGATTAAGCATTTTAATATGTCGTATTAAAACGGAACACTGTATGAAATCCATTTCCTTATAAATTAAACAATGTCTGAAATATTTTGATTTTTACCGACAGAGTGCCATATAGTATAATTCCGTGATTGTTCATCTGCGTACGAGACCGCCGAATTGTAGTGTTCTTCACTATATTTTAAGTTTTTGTAAGTGACAGGTCAATTTAATAGATAGTTCTCTCTTAGGTCAGGTAATTTTTCAGTTTCTATATTATTGATAGATATGCTAGCAAATATGTTACAAAGGCCTTTTTCCCAATTTAATTTTTAAGAAGTATATGAAGGAAAAGTAATTCAAATTCTTATGTTTTTGCACGTTATTTTTCCAATCAAAGAGTTCCGGAAGCGCGCCAGTAGGGATCAACTTTCAGGCTTTCATTGGTATTGCCGCGTCGGTCACCGTCCGTCCTGTACACCGACTGCAGATGTACAACTTTGTATCTTACAGATCATGAAGAACGCCTTTGACCAAGGCTAGACGACAACGGTGGTGGAAGAGACGATGACGTCATTCGATAAACCTGGAAAACAAAATGGCGTCCAAATATCCAATATTTTTCATAAGAAATGCCCTTGCGTAGGTGGTTATACGTTTACACGGAGGTTGCTAGTATATCTCAGTTCGATGTAAATTTCATTTATGGCCAACTTTTTTCTTGACAAACTGGGTTTTCATATCTTTGTATTCCTTCATGTCAGTTAGGAGAAAGCTTTTCCACTGCTATGAATGCGTACCATCGAGCACCGTTCTGCATCTTCTTCAATGGTAGCGTTAGTCCATTAACGTCGTTAAAGTGAAACTGCAATGAAATTTCTTAGACCCAATTTTTCTTCAGCTTTGTAATCTTCTTCAACGTGTGAAAACTTTTTTACAGTCTAATTTGGTTAAACATATTGAAAGGTGCACTCTTTTAAACAAATAATCCACGCTTCTTTTAACAAATGAGGGCGCTGTCGCTATTAAGTCATCTAGGGAAGACCATAGAGGAAGGACACAGAAGGAGTTGCAACTCTGGCACTCAAAGTGTTCAGTGATGGTCACCGCCGAGTCAGGCGAATAATAGAAAACATTCCAAAAATACCCGATTACTGCCTACATCGTAAGTGGACAAGTGTGGCCGGTAATATCCTATATAGCAATACTTGTATTTTTGTGCTTGCAGTTTAATGCAAATCATTGCTGTAACCAGGAAATAGAGAGAGAAAAATCCCTGGTATTAGACCTACTTTTGGCATCGTAAATAAACGTTTTAAATTTTGATAAACTGTTCCATTATCCAGCAAAGTTTGTAATTTTATTATCCTCTCTCCAATACATCAGTGTTCAAAGACTCGGTACGAATTTGATTAAGACTGGCCAACAAAATGTTGACTTTCACTGGAAAGCTAAGTTCATAAGTAACAAAATGTGCTATTTCATCACAGGGGTGATCGTGAAATCTCATAAAATACGCTTTTGTACAAATGCCATAATAAATATGATTGAGACATAAAAGTGCATTTTGAAGGTTTTAGGAAACAAACTAATAGCAGCCACCCTTTAAAGTGCATCCTTTAGGTTCTACCGTTCACATTGGAGGAAACGTGACATTTGTCCACAAAGGAAATATTGCTCAGTGGCCAATTTCTGGGAAGTCCCATTTTAATACCAGTACCAATTGGTGCATGGTTTTAAGGGAAATGTCTGAGTTTCTGTCAGAGTGCAATAGAGTTAGAGATAGTCTGTCGAGTTGCGCAGGCAAAACGACTGCCTAGAAGGAAGGAAGAATTGACAGAGACCAGAAATCGTGCGGTTTTTCATTTAAATAATTTGGCTTTTATTACAACCCACAGGAGCTATTTTTTCCAAGTAAACCTCAAGTACTTTACTTGAGGGTTCTGACCACTTGAAGTGGTCATAAAATGTTACACTTACACCAAATGCTGTGCATTTGGTTATTCTTAAAGGACAGGTCATTTTTCTTAACGCTTGAGTGCATTGTTCCCGCTTTTCCACTTCATGCATACTTGCTTAACAACCGAAGGACTTTTGTTGGTTTTATGTGATCAGCTGTGCATCAACTTAGCCCGTATTGTTGGGGGCACTTGATCAAACAAAATCAACGAGGAAGTGAACACAGCACGGCAAAAACCTACTAACTCTCTGCGATTAAGCTGCTGTATCATGAAACGTCTGCAACAGTTGATGCCTCTATTCTGTTTAGAAATGTATATATACAGGCAAACTGTATCACCAAAAACAAATACCAAGAAGGCCACACGACAGACCTTCGACGTTAGTTCACATTTCTCGCAAATTTCTACTCGAAGGAAACCACCAAGTGATGAAAGAGCGTTAGATGGGAACCGTGTATTTCAATACTACAATTGTCGGCGAATGAATTTTATATAATCCACACATATTGCCTCATTCCATGTCAACTCAGTTTTCTGAGTGTTTTTTTCGTGGACTGTTTTAGTCAGATGTGTTGTGTTTTGCAAACAATCTGCCTGAAACATGGCGCAGCTCTAATGTAGTGTGTCTTCCTCCCTCCAGCGCCTTTCTAGAGCAATATTTTGCTTTACATTTCACGGTAATTGAAATTTTTCCAAGCTCATCATGTCTGTCCATAAATACTGAGTTCACGAACCTGTTGGAAAGTTCTCATGACATTCCACTTAGACCTAGTATGTTCCTATTTGCCGTTTGAGGGGGTTCAACAGCATTTAACTGAATGAATTCATACTTTTTTCTGCAACGTGGTTTGGCAAAAATGCATGAGGAGAGCCTATGGAACACTGAAGTGAACGAAGATCATAACCCTCGAGCTCAGCCAGGTGATTTTGGCCCATCTCAAAGCTGGGTTGTGCGGATAAAGCTTGATTTTGTAAAACTTATCTTGGCATGCACATAAACCACTCCTTATCATTACAAATGTGAAGTTTGAAATCAATCAAACATACGAATGTTTGAAGTTCTGGGCTACAGACGTGCTAGCCCACGTGCATTGAGCATCACAGTGGAAAAAGTGCATCATTATTTTTGACTGACCTGTCTTTTTGGGCACTGCATGTGTAGTAGGAATGGCAGGTTCAATTTTCAGAGAAAATGTGTCAAGATGACCACAAAGAGTCTCTCTGAAAACTTGTGCACTGCGGAGATATCAGAAGGGGACGTCCGCCCCTGGCTCTTTTAGGGCTCTAAGTAATCTTGCATAATTTATCACAGAAAGGTAGGCTGTGCTGTTAAAAATTTTGTCAGGAAAAAGCATTTATGTAAAATCTTGGCTGTTTCTTCCAGCTTTCGTTGATTACTAACTGCAAGAATGCTCGGTTTTTGTGTATTTTTGACGGGCCAAAGGTACGTAGGCCTATGAGACAACGTGGCTAATGTAATGAATACTTTAATACTTGAACAATTCAGCTGTATGGAAATAGTGAGCCGTTGCAATGGTGATTGTTGAGACATAACATAAAATCAAAACTGGTGGTTAAGTTTGACAAATGCGACAATGACCCACTTCTCAATACACATTTTAGGACTCAGTGCCAGGCAATCTCCCAGACGACAAATATTCAAATTTCATGGGTCATTAAATTTTGTAGGACTCTCAGTTCACTCTTGGAAATATTTTTTGAACTACGCAAGTACTGAAGGGCCTACAGAAATTTTAGTCGCATCCAGTTAAGTTGCTTGTTAAAAGAAATGCTTCGTGACAACAAGGCTTCCTGATGCAGGTAGCAGCATAAAAGTACAATTTTATCTTGTTAACCACCAACCTCATTTACTTGTTGTAAATCCTTAAACATGCATTTTTGTCAAATACATTGCTCAAATATTTAGTTTTTTGTACATGATGCCGTTGGATATCGTGTCAAGTTAAAATTTGTAGAAATATGTAAGGTTTTCTGCTAGCGTCGGAAATAAACGCCTATGAATATGTTTTGAGCACAAAGGGTAGCTGTTTTGTCTTAAAATTAATTTACATAATTTCCTCAAGGTTGATTTTGGGTGAAGTTTTGTGGCGATAATTTGCGCCCAGTAACATACATTGGCAACAAAATTTAGTTATCAAAAATGTTTTGGTCTTCGTCAATTCTTACTGGCCTATAAGTCTTATTCTCTGTGCCCTTTTCTGATTAGTCATCGAGAAAAACAGACTGAAACTAACAGGAAATGACAGCATGTGCCAACTCTTCCTTGTTTAATTGGGTTCTACCGTTTTTTTAAATCATCTTCTGTCATGGTTTAATAAATAATTTGATTTTAATTCTGTGGGTCTCCTTGCCGACTGCGTTCATCATTGTGGCTTTTGCTCTACCCCTCCTTCACCCCACCCACCAGATTTTTAAAATATCATCCGACAAAGTCTTGAACCCCACAAACTGAAGCAATAAATCATAGGAAAAATGTAGTACAAATCAAAAACAGATCTAGGCCTCAAAAATAGGGCACTCTTCTACTGGCTGCCTAGTGTTCAGCGACCGGCTCAGCATTGGACAATATGGGGTTGGGAGTTTCGTCACGGTTATATAGTATTTACGCCTCCGTTCTAAAGCTACTGTTTGTATGGGGGGAGGTAAATGGGGCCAACATAGTCGCCGGATGCTGGTATGTATGAGCTCCATACTGGACCCAAAACATCCACTGAGTGGCGCAGACCCTGAGTCCTACTCCAACCTCCACATGGTACCCCCTGGATTCCAACCGAAAGGAGAGGGCGACTGCGGGTGCTTGGCGCAGTACAACCAGGCTTGCTCCGGGCGGGTGGGGCTCGTCAGCCTTGGCCGGCTGCCCACCTAGGAGAGGGGAACTCCGATAATAAACCAACGGGCAGGAGGGGCTCGTCAGCTATGGTCGGCAACTCGCCTAGGAGAGGGAAACTCCGACATCAAACCTACGGCCCGATGACCTCGCTGTCACCGTCCCAACTTGCTAGGCCATTGTAGATGAACCTCGTGCTTAAAGGGTGGGGCCAGTTTGTGCGCGCTGCACTTCACCTTAAAACTCCCCAGCGCAGGCTGAAGGGCACGTCCACGTTCTTCAACCAACCATCCTAAAAGCCCTGCAGCGATGGGAAAGGGTCAAAAGCGGCAGGTGGAAGATGTCACTGGAAGCTATAGTCTCGATCCTACATATCCTGAGCGACCAGGCAGCCCTATTTAGGGAGAGCACTGCCTGCTCCACATGGAGAGGGGCGGTAGAAAAGGTTCGCCCAAACGAAGCTGGTCTCCACTATACCCAGTTGGCTAGCCGCGGTCACCAGACATCTTCAGAGCAGTCGAACAATCATGAAAATAGGAGAAGAAGAAGAAGTGCTGAGAACAAAACAAGGGACTCTATACTACTTTTGTCGACCTTACGAAAGTATTCGACACAGTGAGCAGGAGAGGACTATGGCTCATCCTGGAACGACTTGGCTGTCCCTCAAGTTTCTACAGATGGTTATCCAGCTGCACGAGAACCTGCGCGGTCCGATAAGACTCAACGGTGGCCTCCAAGCTCACACAAAGACCCTGGAGAGGCTGATCCGGGACCTTCTTTTCGCAGACGACGCTGCCCTCGTCGCCCACACTGAGAGCTCTGTTGCGCATCATGTCCTGCTTTGCGGACGCCTCGCGGCTGTTTGGCCTCGAGGTTAGCCCCAAGAAAACGGAGGTTCTTCACCAGCCTGCCCCCCCCAGAAGAATATCGCCCACCCAATATCACCACTGACGATACTGAACTGAACGCAACACAGCAGCTCGCCTACCTGGGTTGCATCATTTCATCCGATGCAAAGATCGACCAAGAAATTGACAACAGACTCTCAAAGGCAAATAGCTCCTTTGGCAGATTGTACCAACGTGTTTAGAACAACAAAAACCTGAGGAACGAGACAAAGATCAGCGTCTACAGGGCCGTGGTTCTTACCACTCTCCTCTCCGGCTTGGAGACCTGGGTCAACTACCGCAGTCACATCCGTCTCCTTGAGCGCTTCCACCAGCGCTGTCTCCGCACCGTCCTCAACATTCACTGGAGTGGCTTCATTGCAAACGTTGAAGTTCTGGAGCAGGCCGAGATCCCCAGTATTGAAGCCATGCTACTGAAGTACCACCTCCGATGGACAGGGCATGTCTCCAGAATGGAGGAACATCGCCTACCAAAGATTACTCTGTACGGCGAACTCTCCACTGGCCACCGTGAGAGAGGAGCCCCGAAGAAATGCTTCAAAGACTGCCTCAAAAAGTCCCTCACCGCATGTCATGTTGACCACCAGGGCTGGTCAGACCTGGCTGCGTGATGCCTGGCGCCACATGATCTCCAAAGCGGTCACCGACTTTGAGGAAGACAGAAGAGACGCGCAAAAAGACAAGGGACGCAGAAGGAAGGTCTGAGCCGCCTCTGACACTACACTGGACGTTACCTTCACCTGTGGACACTGCTCACGGACCTGTCTTTCCCGCATCGGACTCGCGAGTCATGAGCGTGCCTGCAGACGACGTGGACAACCTTCATAAATCTTCGTTCGCGAAGCCAATCCATGATGATAACGACGGCCTGTACGTGTACAGCTGAATTGTCAGAATCAGTGTGATTTAGATGTAATATTAATTGGTGGCAGTGCGATATAAATTGAAAAGGGACAGTATGCACCTGCAGGCCCTTTCATAACCGCCTGTGTGAACCCGCGTCAGAGGCAAAAACTTAAGGCTACGGAAATTATTTATATTATTATATTGATATATATTTCAGATATTCAAAAGAGGCGTTGCTGCGGTTTATCTGCACGTCTGTTACAAAGTGTAGCTTTTTAGTGCACAATGTAGGGATTAGGACTTACTCTTCACTCTGCGAATACATAGCGCATACTTCGTTTGGCACTATTCTTTCTCTATATAGGACCCGCTGAATTGTTTTTTTGAGTCGTACTTCCTCAATAAGTGGAACAGACACTCTCTATTTTTAGACTCCAGAAATGCGAAATCATGGAAAACGTCCTGTAGCCTACATTTTGGTCTGTGGTTTTTCCTTATATGGTCTTTTCGGTATAATTTCCGGCCGGCTTTTCTGTTGTCGCAAGACATTGCAAACAATGATATTCTTAATGACAAGGGTAAGGCATCACAGCAATAACACTTTCATTTAAACATACAGACGACAGCTAGCAGATTAATGTTTTCAATGGCTTGGGAGTTCCAGAAAATGAAATTACAACTACTTCACAGAGATCGCGTTGTGTATACCGTTTATTCTTGGCATGATATGGCAATACGTATAGGCCTATGCATGCGGTTGATTATCTATGCGTTATCTCGCGTAATACAGCCATTAACTGTGGACCTAATGACATTATGCACATCCAATAAACGTTCTCCCAAGTGGTACTTGCATTAAATCACTGTTCAAAAAAAAAAAAAAAAGGCCAACACATCTCAGTCCGGCTCCTTGACTGGAATGGCTCAAAAGTAACTTGTCACTTTACACAGTATGAACCGATGTGATTCTGCTGGTAAATCTAAATGGAGTATAGTTAATAATCATTATTTTCACTCCGTTGCTATAGGAAAGCTACGTACACAGCGCTGTATCAAAATAATACGTAATAAAAGTTAATGCAACCGGTTAGAAAAGACTGACGCCTACAAATATCTACACATTGTGCCGTTATAAAACTTAACAATGCGAATTTACATATACGGTTCCCCTTTTTCACTCAACACTAAACAGTTGTTATGTCTGTATTCCTTTGATAATAGGAGAAAACTATAGCAATTAAATTTGAAATCTTCAGTTTTTGGCCTTAGTTTTGGGTGTGTCACTTCTATAAAGTGAAGCAGGCAAGTACAACTTCTGAGAACACGAATGGAACAACATTGAGGTCTGTGTGATTCTTAGTTCCTCAGTAATGCTAAATTGTTTATAAATGCGTAATTATCGCTTTTACAATTCACGCAAGTAATCGCATTAATATTGATTTCGCAGAAATTCTCAAAAACAAAAATCTCAAATGTATAGATCATCTTTTCACTTTGCGCAAACGACGAATACATTTATTGGGAAAATATAACTGAGCTGACTAGCTGCCGGTAGGCCTATTTTAGGGATTTTTGAACGGTAGGTTTTTTAAAACAAGTAGCTACAAACAGAAAATCTAATTTTATTTTGAAAAAAAGGTTCTCGACATTTATGTTGAAACTAAAGAAGGAAGAAAGAAAATGTCATATTATAAATACTAATTGAGCTCTCTCGTGAAATCGGAAATAAAAATAATATTTTCCTCTTATAATAGATTGAATAAATGATATTTCTACATGATTTAGGTTCGTCGCAGTTTCATTTCAACTGCGTACATTTAGAAAATATATCAGTATACCTTTAAAAAAAAACGTATTTCCAAATGTAAGCACTTTCGTTATTCACGTGCGGATCATGGCATAGACAGTCTGTTCTGATGCTGGAACGGGCCCTGTCTTGTCGGTAGGTGTGCCCGGAGTCTCGAGATCTAGATCAGCGTATACCAGGCCAAAGTCGGTCTCTGTACCCACCGGCTCGTCCGCCGCCACGGCACTGTACTCTCGGCTTT